CCACAAAATGATTCCATGCAGTCAACAATGAAAGAGTCACCACAATGTTGCCTTCACCAGATGTTGGTTGTTCATTGATAAGTGCCTCATACAGGCAACTTGTTGCTGACAAATCGTTGCCTGTATATGAGGCAATGAGGGGCTTTAAAGGTAGAAAAATAGAGCTTAACTCAAACTCAATTATAATCATAAATCAAAATATACAACTTAGAGTGGTCAATATGCTGCTAACAAACAGCTTTTATTTGCTACCCTTGATTATTGTGTTATAATGTATGGTCCACTTTTTAGGACGTGCCACAATTGAGATATACAATTAGAGTACCACTGCAAGACATGTGAGATCTCTTAGCTTGGATCAGTTATAACTGAATAGGTACATTTTGCTAAAATGTATGAAATATATGTATGTTGCTATTTGTTATTTACTTTAAGCCGGTGCCTATGAACTGTGTCAAATTACAGTTTGCATTATATGAATATTTACCGGCCATAGCCCACACATAATTATGTACACACGTGATCAACCTGTGCACGTGATTGGTCATTAAAGGAGCTCCATTTCTGCTTTGTGTAGTTTGCCTTAATTATTAGCTACTTTTCATTTCTCAAGATGGGTATGAATAGAATATTGATTTTTAAAATTAATGATCCATTTTCAGGGTACCAGGTTTCAACTACCGGTAAATTGATGAGAAAAGTAAAAAGTCTGAGGACAAAACGTCCCTATGCTCATACCACTGGGTTCACCCATTGTCCCAGTCTGTGCACTTTGTACAAGTGCAAAAAGAGTGATTGGGGTATTAAACAGCTAGAATATAAACTTATATTACTTATATTAGTGCCCCAGAGTCCCGGAGATGGTATGATAAATAACAGTGAAAAAATATCAGTTGATTTTTATTTTTTAGGGACAGTTAAACCTGTCAATACAATCATCTTGATCATCATTTTCGTCACAAAAACCATGGTGATCATTTTTATCATAATGATAACACCAATAGGGATTATTATTGTCCTTATTATCGTTAAGATAATTACAAAAGATATGCCAGCTGGCGCCAGACTAGCTAGGCCTACTTAAGAAACAGATTATTATTATTATTATTATTATTATTATTATTATTATTATTATTATTATTATTATTGTTGTTGTTGTTGTTGTTGTTGTTGTTGTTGTTATTATTATTATTATTATTATTATTATTATTATTATCATTATTATTATGACTCCCCCAGCTCCTCCGTTCGTAGATGGCTCCTTATAACCCTCTCTCCTCTTTTTCCTTCCCCTTTACTCCTTTTTCCCCCTCTCTTTTCCCTCTGTTTTTGTTTGTCCCTCGGTTTGTCCTTCTTTCTCTTTTGTTTGTTCTTTCTCTCCTTGTTCCTTTTGTTTTTCCTTTTTTTGGTTTTTGATTCTTGTTAGGTTTTTTTTATAATAATAATAAATTATTATTATTGTTATTATTATTATTATTATTATCATTATTATTATTGTAAGTAAGGGGCTTAAGGAGTGAAAGATTAAGGACACAAGAAAATTATGTACATGTAGACTAGTAGTGTTATATAGTGGTATATAGTTACGATTATCATTATTAATATTATACTAAACTAAATTTAAGTTGTTGTTATCCTCAAAATGAAACCGATAATAGTGGGTGGAGCTGTTGAAGTATAGTGATAATGAGTGATGAAAAAGAAGGTAATTCTGTTATTAAAAACAAGAGGTGCGGACTAAGTGGAGAAGTAACAAGGCTCGCCTCCTTTGGAGAAATGGAGATACACTAAAATAAATGTTGAGACAATCTCAACAATGACCTCTCTGCTTCCTCGTATCATATAAAAAAACAAATTACTGACTTCTTTTGGGATCACTTCATTTTACATTTTAACTTACAAAACTCATGTTCCTTTCACTTTAAGTGTCCATGTGGTTCCATGTTTAATTCATGTTTTTGTGTTTTTGGTGTGTTTTTTTCTGTTCTCTCTGTTTCAAGGCTACTACACAAGTTGTAGCTAGTCCTTCAACACTTCCTATGTTTTCTGTATAACTAAGACTATATGATTACTCTTATCTTTTGTTGTTGTGTGTTGTAAAGTAATAATAATAATAATAATAATTTGAATCTTGAGATGGCTCCAAAATTATACCCTCAATTACATTTTCTGATACATATTGATGTCCTTATGCTCTGTAGAAAGCTTGAGCCAATTCTGACTTAAATTTTTCAAGTTATTGCCATTGTAAAAAATGGGCAAATTTATGAAAAATACCCAAGGGTATAGCCCATGGTTTTTTTCTAAAAAATGGCTCCGAAATCATACCAAATTTTTAAAAAATTATTTCTGATGCATATTGATGTCCCTATGCTGTATAGTAATTTTTATTTGATTCCGACTTAAATTTTTAAAGTTATGGCCATTTTAAGAAGTAAGCCAAAATCTGAAAATTACCCAAGACTATATATATACTGTATTACATACTAAGAATATATGATGCTATTACTGGTAGTCTAGTGAATACTGTAGTAGTAGATGATACCAGTTATCAGTTTGTGGATAATAATTTATCTATTAATCGTTATACATATGTTATAACTGGAGTTAATGAATTAGGAGAAGGAATATCTAATAATGATACATTCTCATATCAAAGAGGTACTCTGTATAATACAATAATAAAATTAATGAATAAATGATTTTTATTATTTAGTACCAAGATCAGTTAAAGAAGCTCGTTTGAATATAATAGCATTTAATGAGACTATTGCTATATAATGTTTCCTTCAATATACTAGTAATCATCAGTATAAATCAATAGTTGCAATATTGTTATAGGTTACATTGGAGTGTACTGGCAAAGCTCCTGAGAATGTTACAGTTTGTCCAATCTAATAATTATTACTTTAATATATCCCATGGCTTTTTTCCAAAAAACGACTCCAAAATCACCCCAAATTTTCTTACATTTTCTGATACATATTGATGTACTTACGTAATGTAGAAATTTTAAGCTGATTCCAACTAAAATTATGAAATTTCTTTAAAAATGATCAAATTTTTTGAGGAGGAAAATCTATTAAAAATATTAAAGTTTATATCTTCTTTCTTGATAGTCTTCCTTGTAACTTGCTTCTGTAGCTGCTCCAAAGACTTTCAAAGTCTTTTAAAATAAATAAATTGTCTTCATCAGCAGATAGTGCCCCCTGAACTTCAGATTTAATCCTTTCAACTTCTTCATCAAACTGACTTAAACTAAAAATAATTAATAATAATAATAATAATTCTTTTCTTTCCCCTTTCCTTTCTTTTATTTCCTTATTGTAATTCCTCTCTCCTTTTTGTTTTGTCATTGTTATTGTTTTGTTTTTGTCGGTGTTTCTATTCCTTGTCTTATTATTATTATTATTTATCACTGTCATTATCCTAAATTGTATAATTATTATTCTTAGTTTATTATTATAATAATAATAATAATAATAATAATAATAATAATAATAATAATAATAATAATAATAGGTGTAAATTTCGCTCTGCGAATATTGAAGACAGTGCTCCCTTACATCCCTCAATGTCATTCTATTCCTAACTTAATTATATTTTATTTCTAACTTATTTTCTTCAACTTATTTCATAACATATTTCAACTTTATTTTTATTTTATTTTATTTTGTTTTCTGACCTAACTTAATAATATAATAATAAAAATAATTAAATGTTAGTTTGTCTCACTCTGTGTATTGCTTTGGACAAGGTTGGGAAAACCTGTACAGTGTATCATGAGTTCTTCTCTCCAAAACATCGTAAAAATTAATTTTAACATTTTGGTACTTTTCAGATACTATAAAACAATTAATTAATAACTAATAAATAATAATTAATCTTACACTCTGAAATTGGCACAAGTCCAGATTGTTCTTTTGGTTCTAAATTATTAATTTCTTTGCTAAATAATTCGATTAATTTTAAGAATGAGATGCATTCCTTCCATTCCGATGGTATTGATTCTATCCCGTAATAAGCTCCGCCCAATTAACCAAATATGGCACCAACAGTATCGGCATCATCTCCCAAGTTAACTATTAATAATTATCAATAAATATTAATATTACTATTGATGTTACTTAATATTAATAAATTAACCTGCTTTTAGACACCCATCTTTAAAATTATCAGTATGATAGAATGCCCACAGCACTGCTTCAAGACTATCAATGATATAGCCACTCCCCTTTATGTCGGGCGGAGACTTTCTCTTATAAGACCCGCCCACAACCTCAGCAAGTTCTGGTACCTATAAACACAATGTTGTCGTTGTTGTTTATTGTTGTTGTTTATTGTTTACCATTGTATTATTTGACCAGTAGTCAGGTATTGGACTATATTTATCAGCTAATAGTTCTTCCTTTGACTTTCCTTCAAAACAACCCAGCAATAGACCAGCGAAATATCTATCAATAATAGTAATAATAGTAATTACTGAGCCCCTCCCACTTTACATGCATGTATCAGTAGCGGCAGGTGGTCCATGAGTAGTTCTTGCTGAGTCAGCGCTATATCGGAGGGCCAGTGAGTGACAGTTCTTAAAAGCACAAGGAACAGGTCCTAGTCTCATTAGGCAGCCATTACCTGCTGCTCTAGGACTGACTGACCCAGGGAACTCCTCAGAGCCAGTGAACTTGTTTAGCGCTGTCCGTACCGTCTTACCAATGTCAAAACATTCACCGGTTGAAGACAAGTGACCGTCCTAATGACAACAACAACAATAAACAACAAACAAT